GGGCCAGAATATGTATTTGAACAAATCCTAGCTGAAAACTTTCCCTAATCTGGGAAGGGAAACAGGCATTCAGATCCAGGATAGAGAGATCCCCCCTAAAATCAATAAAAACCGTTCAACACCTCGACATTTAATAGTGAAGCTTGCAAATTCAAAAAAATAAGAAGAAGATCCAGCAAAGCAGCAAGAGACAAGAAATCCCTGACTTTTTTATGGGGAGGAATATTAGGGTAACAGCAGACCTCTCCACAGAGACCTGGCAGGCCAGAAAGGGATATATTCAGGGTCCTAAATGAGAAGAACATGCAACCAAGAATACTTTATCCAGCAAGGCTCTCATTCAAAATGGAAGGAGAGAGAAAAAAGAGCTTCCAAGACAGGCAGGAACTGAAAGAATATGTGACCTCCAAACCAGCTCTGCAAGAAATTAAGGGGACTCTTAAAATTCCCCTTTAAGAAGAAGTTCAGTGGAACAATCCACAAAAACAAACAAGGAATGAATAGATATCATGATGACACTAAACTCATATCTGTCAATAGTAACTCTGAACGTGAATGGGCTTAATGACCCCATCAAAGGCGCAGGGTTTCAGACTGGAAAAAAGCAGGACCCATCTATTTGCTGTCTACAAGAGACTCATTTTAGACAGAAGGACACCTACAACCTGAAAATAAAAGGTTGGAGAACCATTTACCATTCAAATGGTCCTCAAAAGAAACCCTAAAATCCTTATATCAGATAAACTAAAATTTATTGAAGACTGTAGTGAGAGATGAAGAGGGAAACTATATCATACTTAAAGGATCTATCCAACAAGAGGACTTAACAATCCTCAATATATATGCCAATGAATGTGGGAGCTGCCAAATACTTACAATTAATAACCAAAGTGAAGAAATACTTAGATAAATCACTATGGTGACTTAATCATAGCTCTTTCTTTCTTCTAAGCACAACATCTCCAAAGAAACAAGAGCTTTAAATGATACACTGGACCAGATGGATTTCACAGATATCTACAGAACTTTACATCCAAACTCAACTGAATACACATTCTTCTCAAGTGCACATGGAACTTTCTCCAGAATAGACCACATACTGGGTCACAAATCGGGTCTGAACTGATACCAAAAGATTGGGATTGTCCCCTGCAATATTCTCAGACCATAATGCCTTGAAATTAGAACTAAATCACAACAAGAAGTTTGGAAGGACCTCAAACAGTGGAGGTTAAGGACCATCCTGCTAAAAGAATGAAAGGGTCAACCAGGAAACGAAAAAGAATTAAAAAGATTCATGGAAACTAATGAGAATGAAGATACAACTCTTCAAAATCTAAATGATGCAGCAAAAATCCTGAGGGGGAACACATCACAATGCAAGAAAAAAACTGGAAAGAACTCAAATACAAAAGCAAACCATACACAATAAAGATAAACTCAAAATAGATGAAGATACTAAAAAGAGACAAGAATCCATCAGAAAAGAGAACTCAACTCAGGCAACACCCTTTTGGAACAGAATGCCAGTGAAGTAACCGGAGAAGGACAAACAGTGTATGTTCTCATTCATTTGGGGAATATGAATAATATAGTGAAGGGAAATAAGGGAAGGAAGGGAGAAGAAATGTGTGAGAGATATCAGAAAGGGAGACAGAACATAAAGACTTCTAACTCTGGGAAATGAACTAGGGGTGGTGGGGGGGAGGAGGGGGCGGGGGTGGGGGTGAATGGGTGACGGGCACTGAGGGGGACACTTGACGGGATGAGCACTGGGTGTTATTCTGTATGTTGGTAAATTGAACACCAATAAAAATTAATTTATAAAAAAAAATTAAAAAACAGCAGAACCTTATTAAAAAGAAGAGAGAGAAGACTCAAATTAATAAAATCATGAATGAGAAAGGAGAGATCATTAAAGAAAAACCAAGGAAATACAAACGATTTTAAAAACATATTATGAACAGCTATACGCCAATAAATTAGGCAATCTAGAAGAAATGGACGCATTCCTGGAAAAAACACAAACTACCAAAACTGGAACAGGAAGAAATAGAAAACCTGAACAGGCCAATAACCAGGAGGAAATTGAAGCAGTCATCAAAAACCTCCCAAGACACAAAAGTCCAGGGCCAGATGGCTTCCCAGGGGAATTCTATCAAACGTTTAAAGAAGAAACCATACCTATTCTACTAAAGCTGTTTGGAAAGATAGAAAGAGATGGAGTACTTCCAAATTCATTCTATGAGGCCAGCATCACCTTAATTCCAAAACCAGACAAAGACCCCACCAAAAAGGAGAATTACAGACCAATATCCCTGATGAACATGGATGCAAAAATTCTCAACAAGATACTAGCCAATAGGATCCAACAACACATTAAGAAAATTATTCACCATGACCAAGTAGGATTTATCCCTGGGGACACAAGGCTGGTTCAACACTCGTAAAACAATCAATGTGATTCATCATATCAGCAAGAGAAAAACCAAGAACCATATGATCCTCTCATTAGATGCAGAGAAAAGCATTTGAAAATACAGCATCCATTCCTGATCAAAACTCTTCAGAGTGTAGGGATAGAGGGAACTTTCCTCACATCTTAAAAGCCATCTACGAAAAGCCCACAGCAAATATCATTCTCAATGGGGAAGCACTGGGAGCCTTTCCCTAAGATCAGGAACAAGACAGGGATGTCCACTCTCACCACTGCTATTCAACATAGTACTGGAAGTCCTAGCCTCAGCAATCAGACAACAAAAAGACATTAAAGGCATTCAAATTGGCAAAAGAAGTCAAACTCTCTCTCTTCGCCGATGATGACATGATACTATACAGAAAACCCAAAAGCCTCCACCCCAAGATTGCTAGAACTCATACAGCAATTTGGTAGCGTGGCAGGATACAAAATCAATGCCCAGAAATCAATGGCATTTCTATACACTAACAATGAGACTGAAGAAAGAGAAATTAAGGAGTCAATCCCATTTACAATTGCACCCAAAAGCATAAGATACCTAGGAATAAACCTAACCAAAGAGGTAAAGGATCTATACCCTAAAAACTACAGAGAACACTTCTGAAAGAAATTGAGGAAGACACAAAGAGATGGAAAAATATTCCATGCTCATGGATTGGCAGAATTAATATTGTGAAAATGTCAATGTTACCCAGGGCAATTTACACGTTTAATGCAATCCCTATCAAAATACCATGGACTTTCTTCAGAGAGTTAGAACAAATTATTTTAAGATTTGTGTGGAATCAGAAAAGACCCCGAATAGCCAGGGGAAAAAAAAAAAGAAAACCATATCTGGGGGCATCACAATGCCAGATTTCAGGTTGTACTACAAAGCTGTGGTCATCAAGACAGTGTGGTACTGGCACAAAAACAGACACATAGATCAATGGAACAGAATAGAGAACCCAGAAGTGGACCCTGAACTTTATGGTCAACTAATATTCGATAAAGGAGGAAAGACTATCCACTGGAAGAAAGACAGTCTCTTCAATAAATGGTGCTGGGAAAATTGGACATCCACATGCAGAAAATGAAAACTAGAGACCACTCTGCACACACCATACACAAAGATAAACTCAAAATGGATGAAAGATCTAAATGTGAGACAAGATTCCATCAAAATCCTAGAGGAGAACACAGGCAACACCCTTTTGAACTTGGCCACAGTAACTTCTTGCAGATAGATACATCCAAGAAAAAAACAAAAGCAAAAAAAAAACAAAAGCAAAAATGAAAAGAATTGGGACTTAATCAAGATAAGAAGCTTTTGCACAGCAAAGGATACAGTCAACAAAAACTCAAAGACAACCTACAGAATGGGAGAAGATATTTGCAAATGACGTATCAGAAAGGGCTAGTTTCCAAGATCTATAAAGAACTTCTTAAACTAAAACACAAAGAAACAAACAATCCAATCATGAAATGGGCAAAAGACATGAAGAGAAATCTCACAGAGGAAGACATAGACATGGCCAACATGCACATGAGAAAATGCTCTGCATCACACTTGCCATCAGGGAAATACAAATCAAAACCACCACAATGAGATGGCCTCACACCAGTGAATGGCGCAATCCTGGAACGGGATTGAATCCCACATCGGGCTCACGGTGCATGAGCCTGAGAGATTCCTGTGTCTCTGCCTCTCTCTCTCTGAATAAATAAAAATTACAAAAAAAAAAAAAAAAAATGTGAACCAGTGAGAATGGGGAAAATTAACAAGGCAGGAAACAGCCACTGGAAGTGGGAAAACTGTGCAGCCACTCTGGAAAACTGTGTGGAGGTTCCTCAAAGAGTTAAAAATAGACCTGCCCTACGACCCAGCAATTGCACTGTTGGGGATTTACCCCAAAGATTCAGATGCAATGAAACGCCGGGACACCTGCACCCGATGTTTCTAGCAGCCAATGTCCACAATAGCCAAACTGTGGAAGGAGCCTCGGTGTCCATCGAAAGATGAATGGATAAAGAAGATGTGGTTTATGTATACAATGGAATATTACTCAGCCATTAGAAATGACAAATACCCACCATTTGCTTCAACGTGGATGGAACTGGAGGGTATTATGCTGAGTGAAGTAAGTCAATCGGAGAAGGACAAACAGTGTATGTTCTCATTCATTTGGGGAATATAAATAATAGTGAAAGGGAATATAAGGGAAGGGAGAAGAAATGTGTGGGAAATATCAGAAAGGGAGACAGAACACATAAAGACTCCTAACTCTGGGAAACGAACTAGGGGTGGTGGAAGGGGAGGAGGAGGGGGGGGGTGGGGGTGAATGGGTGACGGGCACTGAGGGGGACACTTGACGGGATGAGCACTGGGTGTTATTCTGTATGTTGGTAAATTGAACACCAATAAAAAAATTAATTTATTAAAAAAACAAAAATAAATTTCATTTGATCATTTGATAGGCTCTAGAGATTTTTAATACTTTTAGAACTTAGTATTTGCTTTGCAAACAAAAACATCACATACCTTATAATGGCCATTTATCACAGCATCATGTAGAGGAGTGATCTGGTACATTCCTTTGATATTCACATGTGCTCCACCTTTTAATAGTTCACTTGCTGCCTGATAAAATCCTCCTACACTAGCTTCGTGAAGTGCTGTCCAACCTATTATAAAAAATGGTATTTAAATTTAATTTAATGTTTGCTATCTTCATGTCTTGTGCTTGTCCTTAGAACAAAAACTCTATGTTGTTTCTTTGAAAATATTTTGATTATATGAGACAAGATAATCTTACCATAAAAATAACTTATATTATTAGATGGATTCAATAAATCTGAGGGCCAAATCAAATCCCTACTCCCAACTCAGCTATGAAAAAATAAAAAGTAAAAATAATTTTTTTAAAGAAGTAAAAGGTTTTAAACTATTCCTGCCCTCCTCAAATGCTGTGGTCATCAAAAGCAAAGGATGTAAGGGAGTCATTATTAGCTCACATAGAATGCTAGCTGCAAGCTATTTTTCTGCAGAGACGAGGGGAAAAAAACTTTATTTATAGCTCAAGGTACTTCCGTTAAAGTAACCCAGCTGGTAGGAATGCACAGAAGTCACTTCAAAAATATATATTTATTTTCTTATTTGTAAAAAAATTTATAGTAGTTATTTTTAAAAAGATGTTATTTACTCAAAATGGATGAAAGATCTAAATGTGAGACAAGATTACATCAAAATCCTAGAGGAGAAACAGGCAACACCCTTTTTGAACTTGGCCACAGTAACTTCTTGCAAGATACATCCACGAAGGCAAAAGAAACAAAAGCAAAAATGAACTATTGGGACTTCATCAAGATAAGAAGCTTTTGCACAGCAAAGGATACAGTCAACAAAACTAAAAGACAACCTACAGAATGGGAGAAGATATTTGCAAATGACATATCAGATAAAGGGCTAGTTTCCAAGATCTATAAAGAACATTTAAACTCAACACCAAAGAAACAAACAATCCAATCATGAAATGGGCAAAAGACATGAAGAGAAATCTCACAGAGGAAGACATAGACATGGCCAACATGCACATGAGAAAATGCTCTGCATCACTTGCCATCAGGGAAATACAAATCAAAACCACAATGAGATACCCTCACACCAGTGAGAATGGGGAAAATTAACAAGGCAGGAAACCACAAATGTTGGAGAGGATGCGGAGAAAAGGGAACCCTCTTACACTGTTGGTGGGAATGTGAACTGGTGCAGCCACTCTGGAAAACTGTGTGGAGGTTCCTCAAAGAGTTAAAAATAGACCTGCCCTACGACCCAGCAATTGCACTGTTGGGGATTTACCCCAAAGATTCAGATGCAATGAAACGCCGGGACACCTGCACCCCGATGTTTCTAGCAGCCATGTCCACAATAGCCAAACTGTGGAAGGAGCCTCGGTGTCCATCGAAAGATGAATGGATAAAGAAGATGTGGTTTATGTATACAATGGAATATTACTCAGCCATTAGAAACGACAAATACCCACCATTTGCTTCAACGTGGATGGAACTGGAGGGTATTATGCTGAGTGAAGTAAGTCAATCGGAGAAGGACAAACAGTGTATGTTCTCATTCATTTGGGGAATATGAATAATAGTGAAAGGGAATACAAGGGAAGGGAGAAAAATGTGTGGGAAATATCAGAAAGGGAGACAGAACATAAAGACTCCTAACTCTGGGAAATGAACTAGGGGTGGTGGAAGGGGAGGAGGGCGGGGGTTGGGGGTGAATGGGTGACGGGCACTGAGGGGGACACTTGACGGGATGAGCACTGGGTGTTATTCTGTATGTTGGTAAATTGAACACCCAATAAAAATTATTTTATTGAAAAAATAATAATAAAATAAAAAGAAAATTAAAAAAGAAAGAAAAGAAAGAAAGAAAGAAAGAAAGAAAGAAAGAAAGAAAGAAAGAAAGAACCTGAAAAGTCTCTTTGACCCTGCTTTTGGAGCAGCAGGCTGTTCTGCCTTTTTTTAAAAAATATAAAAAAATAAAAAATAAAAAGACTCCTAACTCTGGGAAACAAACTAGGGGTGGTGGAAGGGGAGGAGGGCGGGGGGTGGGGGTGAATGGGTGACGGACACTGAGGGGGGCACTTGAGGGGATGAGCACTGGGTGTTATTCTGTATGTTGGTAAATTGAACACCAATAAAAAATAAATTTATTATAAAAAATAAAAATAAAAAAAAAAGAATCCCCGAACTCTGGGGTTTGGAGAACTTTCCCAGATTAGTCAACACATCAACATGCTGGGAAGGTGACATTCCAATTCCACAGAGATAGAAGCTCCTGTGCTAAGGAAACTTTCCAGGCCTTCCTCTTTGTATCTTCATCTGGGTGTTCATCTTACCTTTGTCATATCCTTGATTATATAATAAACTTATATGGCAAATGTGTTTCCCTGAGTTCTCTGAGCAATTTTAGAAAGAGGTCAAATCCAAGGAAGGGATTGTGGGAAATTTCAATTTGTAACCAGACTGAACAGAAACTGTGGAAAACCCAGTACTTGTGACTGGCATCTGAAGTGGGGGTGGCTGAATGATCCCTTAACCTGTGGGACCTGTGCTAATACAGATTAGTGCCAGAAATGAACTGAATTACAGGACATCCAGCTGGTATTGGAGAATTGCTTGATGTGTTGAAAACCCCACACATCTGGTATCAGAAGTGTTATGAATATAAGTAGAGGAGAAATACATGAGTGTTTTTCCTTTATAGCATGTAATAAAAAAAGTATGTAGAATCTAGGTATTAGGTACATGGATGCTTACTGTGGAATTCTTTTAACTTTTCTGTATGTTTAAAAGTTTTCATAATGTTACAAAAAATTCAAATAAATAGCTCATATGTGAACTTTTGAAACATAACCATCTAAGGACTACCTATTTTTAAAAACATAAAAATTAGCTCCCTCCAAGTACTATTTGATAAAAAGTGTGAACTCGTTTAGGTTTCAGGACCTGTGTAACTTTGCTTATCAAAGCTCACACTGGTTAACTTGATTATCTGCCACCGGTCTAGGATGAAAAATGAAATGTAAGAAATCCAAAAGTTATTAATTTCAGAATGTAGATGATGATCTTCCTCCTCGGAAACTTTCTTTCCTTATATTAGGTTTTGCTTAAGCTACAATAAAAATTAGTTTCCTAAAATGGGAAAAAACGACTGGAATGAGAAAATCATAACAAAAGATTAGTTTGTTTTCCCTGAGTCAGAATACTAAAAGATAAGGTAAATGGAAAGTGGAAAACCAACCTCCTACTTTAAATTCACTGCAGAAAATTCCCAAAGAAGAGAACTACTGCAGGTCAGTAATTCAGTGTAAAGGACGGGCCTCAGGGGAGAAGTAAAAAATAAGTGCCACTTTAAGTGTGACCCAAGCAAAGATGACCCAGTGAGGAACAGTAGCTGGTTCCTTGGGTTTTTTGTTTTTGTTTTTTTTTTTAAGATTTATTTATTTATTGGGGCAGAGGCAGAGGGAATTTCCAGCAGACTCCCCACTGAGCGAGGAGCCTGACTCAGGGACCAACCACATGGGGCTCCATCCCAGGACCCTGAAATTAAGACCTAGCTGAAATGAGCCACCCAGTGCCCCTGAATAGTATCAGTCTTAAGGTTGAAAGAATGTCCCAGCATCAGTAAAGCCAGAAGGATCTTTATTCTGCAGATAGAGCCACTGCAGACCAGTGGCTACACCAGAATGCAGAAAGAAATCAAACATACAAAGAATTTTCCTTCCCCTTCGGATCACTTCTGTGTTGTAAAACCACTCCTTCAAAATAAAGATGATCACATTTTACAACAGATTATTATTATCTCCCAGATCTGAAGGTTGGAAGATCCTTAAACAATTATTTTCTTTTAACCATCTTAAAGGAAATCTCTAAAGCTTTATAAGATTATAAATTTCCCAGAAAGAGAAAATAATATATTTTAATAAAGATCATCATAATATTAGTTATAGGCTTTAATGTAGCAATTGTTAACACCCACAGTATAAGTTCATGCTCTTCTACGTTATACAGTCCTCAACAATGTTGCCTCTCATTTTTATGTTTTTATCTGTCTCTTGCCTTGCTGTTAAACTTCTTGCTGTTATCAATATCCTGGACTGTGCCAACCTTTCCTTTCAGTTCTAATGTGCTGCAGACTTAGGAATCAGATAGAATTTGGTGTAAAATAATGCTCAAGGCATTGGTCTGAGAGGGTTTTAGCAAAGAAGCTTTATGAGATCTGTAGTGGGTAATCAGAGTTTCAGCCTACTTCCTGGTTGTCACCTTTGTTTTTGATAGATGAAGAATTATTACAATTGTTTTTTAAAATCAAAGACAGATATATCATAAAATGTAAATGAGGACTTAAAATGCAAATGTTACCCATGATAAGACCACTGGTCTGTTATTATAACATCATATGAATATCTCAAAAGGCACTTATCCTTTTTTGGACTGTATTACATAATATATTTAAACTTTTCTAGTATACGTATCTTTCTGTTTCCACAATAACTGGTACACTAAGGTCATACTGTAAAAGTTCACTATAATGAAGTGGTATATTACATGGAGGTCATATATCTCTTGCCAGTCGTTCTTGAACTTTAATGAGAACACAAATCATCTAGGAAAATGTTAAAAAGCAGATTTTAACCTACAGATTTTAACTGTGAGACCGTGCATGTGTTGTTTTGGAGAGTGAAATAAACATTTTAAACAAACTACATTTTAAATAAACACTGCAGGTGACTCTGATGAAAATGGTTATAGTCAAGTCTTTAAGAACACTGCCCTCTGCAATTTTATAAAATGGAATAACCAGAAGTAAAGACCAGAGTTAAGATGCACAGTGAGAAGGAGAAGTAGAGAATAAGAATTCAAAAAGCCAGGAAAGTATGTTAAAGGTAAAGAACTCATGAAGGTCACAGAAGTATCTGAGGAGAAAGTGCATAATGCACGGCCAAAAACAAGCAGGGAAGAGACACCAAGTATGCTAATAATGGCACAGAAAAGGACCATTGAAAAGAAATAAGTTGAGAGATTCCTAGGAAATCCACAAAGTAAAGTTAGCTGCATGAAGAGCTACTCCTGAACTTAAGAAGCAGATAGAGACTAATAGCAAGTACCATACATTTGTCAAGATTAAGGGAGCAACTGCTGTGGATACCACATAAGGATCCAAGGTTGAAGGTTATAGGACAGTGGTCTGAAATTTAGAATAATAACCTGTTAAAACCCTGATTACCAAAAATGCATGCTTTGCTAAAGTAAGTGCTGTGGGTGCACTTGTAAACACCTGCTTGTCCATGGACTCTGCTGCTCATCTCTGTATTGTAAGAATTTCTGCACTGTTTCATAACTGAGCAAGACTAGAAACACTAGTAAAAGTATAGACACAAAAGTACTACCCAGGCTTAGCCCAGTGCCCTAAGTACTTAAGTATCTTTAAGGAATCATTCTCATTCAGGAAACATCAGCTTCTTTCCACAAAAAAGACTGTACCAGAGATCCAGCCTTGCAGAAAGAATGTTCTGAGCCCCTTGCCCCACCTTTCTACCTTAAACTCTCTTATCTCCATCTCCCTGGCCATTGCCCCTGCTGTACATCTACCATGTTATCTCAGTTTCCTCAGAGCTCAGTGTACCATCAGCTTCTTTCAGCTTTTGAGCTCACTTTTCTTCCATTCAAAGTTGAGTCTCACAGTAACAATGCCCATGCAAAGCCAGCAAGTCAGCCCCAGGAACCACACCCTTCTGTGTAGGGCCACTATGCACAGCCCACCTGGTGGGCCCCAGGCAAGAGTAATCTTTGAAGATGAAATACAATGCTCTTCTCCTGTCCTTCCCTCTCCACCTTACCACTTCGCTGGGTGATGCTGGTGATCAGCTACCTAAGCAGGAAAATTACCTGGAAGCTTTCCGTTTGAGACTTGCCTTTCACCCACTTTGCCATACTTTCATAGGAGTGACTAAGCAGAAACTACAAACCACTCTCAAGATAATTGCGAGTGGTAACCCCAACTTACCGGCATAACTTGGTTGATTAACATTTCCCCCTTTTGTTATATAACGATGAATAAGATCAACATCATTGTGCAGAGCAGCCTGATACAGTAAGTTCTCTCCAAAAATGTTTCTACGGTTAATTCTAGACAGAGATATTTTATCCATCTTCATTTTTTCTGAAATGAGAGGATGAACATAAGAAAACAAAAAATAATAAGCCTTATTTGAATATCAGGAAGAATACAGGTAATAAAGTAGATCCAGTCAATATTCTGGAATTATATTATGAAAGTATTTCATCCATTAACCCAACTATAATGTTATCTGTATTCAAAAAGGTAAAAGAAAAAAATGGCATTGGTTTGAAAATATTCACAGTACATTATAAATCATGTAAGCAGTTTATGTTTATTGAAACCCCATGAAAGTGCAGATGTAACAAGACTAACAGATTATTTTCATAAAAGTTCTAGTGAAAAGGATTATTTAAATCCAGAATTAAATGTTATTAAACCCACCAAAATACTATAGTACCAAAATGTGTTAAAACACCATAAGGAGAAAATCTCAGAAGTACATAAGGAAGATACAGAAATTAATCCCAGTGAGAACAGAAAAAAAGAATACTAAACTTCTTTCTTTGCCAAAAAAATAGCTATCATGAAATTAAATTAAAGGAATATGATCTTGATCGATACAATAGCTTTGATTTCCTAAGTAAGAAAATATACAATTAAAATAGATTCCCAGGTTATGCATATCAGGTATCATTTCACCACTGTAGCACCTAACATACTGACATTCCTTATTTATATACTCTAAATCCTATCGATTTTTATGGATAATACTTCATTTGGCTTTCTTGAATTTCAGAATAGCTTTGATGATAGCTTTTCTAATTTTGACCCAGCTAATCTGCCCCATCCTAAAATCTCACAAAAGTAACTGAGTATAGCAGCACATTTTTTAATGGATCACTATTTATCTGCTTTGCCTTTATTAGATTCCCTTCATTCCATCCCTGTAAAATAAACCAACTTCTAAATATTTGAACCTATGTTCCCCCACTCAAGACTACAAAGCACTCTGCTCCTACCAGATAGACTATATGGTTACCCAAAAAAGTCATCTCTACTCCAAGATTTCTTTGCCAGTTATACTTGCTAGTTATGTAATTTATTAGTAATAGAAAATTAAGAAGAAAATAAAATTTTTCAATTAAAACAGAGATGTAGGGACGCCTGGGTGGCTCAGTGGTTGAGCATCTGCCTTCAGCTCAGAGTGCGATCCCAGAGTCCAGGATCCAGTCCCACATCAAGCTCCCTTCACGGAACCTGCTTCTCCCTCTGCCTCTCTCTCTCTCTGTGTCTCTCTGTGTGAATAAATAAATAAAATCTAAATAAATAAATACATAAATAAGATGTCGAAGACATTCACTTCCAATCATGCCATGACCTGCCCTTCCACTGCAAACAACTGAAAAACTAGATTAAATAAATGGGGTAAAAAACTTATATTCAGACATGAGAAAATAGGCAGTACAGATCTATGACTCCTCCCAGAGAAGGAAAACAAAAAAGTAAGCCCTAAGATCACTCTTGTCTGGAGGCACATTCCTGAATACAGCACAAGCATAGCAAGGTGATCCCGCTGAGCTAAGGCGATAGAGATTAAAGTTTCTGGAGGCTGGAATGATTAGATTTGGCATGGTAGGTACCAGAGACGAAGGAATAGAGAACAGGTAGGTACCAGAAATCTATAAAAGGGACTCCTTGGATCACTATCTAAATATTAAAGTGCTCATATATATATAGAAGGAGTCTTCATGAGGCTGGGCAAGAACAACTACCTGACAACGATAAAATAACAATCCTGAGAGATCAGAGATATTTGTATTCCTGATAGCTTGAAGAGAGAGACCTTGCTGAACACCCACAGCATTAGCAGAGACCCTTGACAGGCCATGTCTTAGCAGGAAGGGGCTAAACTAGCTGTATAGTAAAGCCTACACCAAACCTGCCTAACATGGTTTTTAAAAAAGCATTGAAAGGATCAATCTGATGTTCAAGT